AAAAAAAAAAATCTGCATTGTGGGTTACACCCAGGTTCCCCATGGGTGAGCGGAGCTGGAAAGCCCCGGGGAAGGGTGCCGAAGCGGGAGCAAACCTCTCCATCCCATTAATTAACCTCTCTACCCCATTAATTACCCTTTCCGCCCCCGTTTCCCTGTCTTGCCTCCAGGTCAGGGCTTTCATTGCTGATTTTTCCAATGTCTTCTCCATCCTGCTCTTCTGCGGAGTGGATGCCTGTTTCGGACTGGACACCCCTAAGCTCCATATCCCCAGTATCATCAAGGTTTGGCCGCCGCACCAGGGGGGACCCCCTCACCTCTCCACCCACGCTCTCTTTCCAGCTCCTCGCCGGTTTTTGGGGAAAATCGCTGCTCCTGCGGTGTCCGGGCACCTTCTTAAAAGCTACTTTGTCTTTTCTGGGGGAATATTCTAATTCTGTGACTTTTTTTTCCCTTCCTTTTTTTGTTGTGTTTTTTTTTCCCCTTTTCTCTTTTCTCGCTCCCGGCAGCTGCGTAAACTTGTTAGCGATTTCTCTATCTTTATGTCCATACTAATGTTTGTGGGGCTGGATGTGCTTTTCGGACTCAACACCCCAAAGCTCCAAGTGCCTACTGATTTTAAGGTAAAAAAAAAAAAAAAAGCAGTAAAATCCCTTTCCGGAAGCGTTGCCAAAAATTTCTCTTCCCCCCCCCATCCAGGGTATCGCTGTCGGTGACCTGGGGATTGCCGATGAGCAGCCGGGGAAGAAAATTTGGGGTTGAGGCATGCGGATGCCGGGGGTGGTTTGGGTACCGATGCGTGGTGGTGGGATTCAGGGATGGATACGGGATAGGATGATGCTCAGAGGAAATGGGGTTCAGGGGTGATGTGGGGCTTGCCGAAATGTCAGCGCTTGGGTTTTTCCCCCCTCTCTGACCCGGTCCCGGGCTCGGCCGCGGTGTCCCAACCCCCTCTCTTCCCCCCCCCCCCCGCAGCCCACCCGTGTGGACCGAGGGTGGTTCGTGTTTCCCTTCGGGAAGAACCCGTGGTGGGTTTACCTGGCGAGCGCCCTGCCCGCCCTCCTCGTCACCATCCTCATCTTCATGGACCAGCAGATCACAGCCGTCATCGTCAACAGGAAGGAGCACAAGCTGCGGGTGAGCAGGGACTTGTCCCACGCTCGGGGGCGCAGCATCGCGTCGGGTACCGCCTGCACCCCTGCGAGCACCCGCTTTTGGGGTGCAGATCGGGTGCTGCTGCACG